AGAGCATCTGCAAGGGGCTCCTCCTCTTCCCGCCAAACCAGCTGGTGCCCATGGCGCTGCTCTCGAACGCTGGGGGCAAACGGAGGGGCGTTCGCCGTGGCACCAGACAGACTGGCCATGGCCCTAGCGGCTTGACCAACTCGCCTGGGCACACTGCATCCACCCCTGGGACTGGGTACCCCCGCATCCCTCCTGCCTCGGGGTCACTGACAGACCGGGTCCCCGTCCACCAGGGCAGGGAGCTTGCCCTCCAGAGCTGCAGGGGGCCGGGCGGGAGCTAACAAGGGGAAATGTGGAAGCCATTGCCCTCTGGGGAGGCCCTGACCACCCAGCACCACCTGCCTCCATCTCACACCCCGCCTCTGCCAGCCACGTCCGTGCAGCCTGAGGGTGAGGGCCCAGTGGGGAGGCAGGCAGGAGCGGGGGCCGCACTGCCAAGCTGCTGGCTCTGGGTGGCAGCGCAGGTGCCCAAGCCAGGTGGCCGCTGGGGACGCCTGCAGGGGCTTGTCCCTCTCCTGCTGGCGTGTCCCTCCTCCCAGTACATTCAGGTTTCACTGGTAGCGTCCAAGTGTAGGGACACTCGCTGTCTCATCGCTGTGTTCCTCAGTCTTCCCCAAACCACCACAGCCTCATATTCGTCTTAGATAAGATTATACTTACCAATAAAATCTAATAAGTTTAATTTAAAAATATCACCCAAATTTTCAAGTCTTTGGTTAGACTGACCAAGAAATAAAGAGTGAAGACTCAAATTACAAAAAAATGGAAATGAAAGACGTGATGTTAGTACTGGACCTTATAGAAATAGGGCTTCCCCGGTGGCTCAGATGGTAAAAGATCTACAATTGAGGAGATCCGGGTTTGATCATTGGATCGGGAAGATTCCCTGGACAAGGAATGGCAACCCACTCCAGTGTTCTTGCCTGGAGAATCCCATGGACAGAGGAGCTTGGAGGGCTATATCCAAAGGGTCGGACATGACTGAGCGACTAACAGTTTGACTTTCATAAAAATAATATAGCTAAGAACATTTTTTGTGACTGAGGTTTGCAAATTTAAATGTATTCAATGGCTGTCAAGAATATATTGAATTCATAGGAATATGGAATATTCACAAGAATATCTTTACTAATTCAGGATCACATTAGAAAATAATAAATTCATAAGAAAAAAAGAAGTTTTCGATGATCTTTGGCTTTCAACAAAATGAGAAGTCTTACAGTGCTGCCAGGATCCAAGAGTTTTCCTTGAGACAAATCTTCGGCAAACAAGCAAACTTGAACAGTTCGGTGAGCTGCTGCGTTGGCACAGTGACCAGGGGCAGTGGCTCCCAAACTCGAGCGTGCACGGGGCCGCTGAAACGCAGCAGCCTGGCCCCCGAGCGGGGCCTGTGGTCTGCATGCTGACAGTCCAGGCTGCTGAGGCCTGGGAGCCCCCTTGAGCACCGCGGAGCTGCAGCTTTGCCCCGTGGACTTGGTTGAAGGAGCAAGTTGAAGTGAGCAAGTTGACTTGGTTGAAGTCAGTGACAGGCAGACCGGCCTTGCCGGGCCTGCAGAACCCTCCGTATGCACCTGGCTCCCCGCCGCACCCCTGGCAGCCCAAGGCCCCCTGCCCACTCCAGTGTCCCCAGAGCAGGGGCCGGGCTCTGCTGTGACCAAGGCTTTTGAGGCGAGAGGCCCACAGGGCCTGCCTGTGTCCTCTGGCTGCCGGCTGGTGGGGAGGCCCCAGAAGCTGCTGCCTCACCTCTTTCCAGTAGGGGTGGAGGCCCTGAGGGGGGTGGGGAAAGGCTGGTGCCCCCCGGGGGGGGCAGGCAGAGCAACAAACCAGGCCACCTCTACCCCGGGCCCACGACTCAGAAGCACCCAGCCTATTGGAAACACTAGCCCTTGGGTGGAGCCTCTCCTTTCCCAGCCAGACTGCAGCCTGAGGGAAAGCGGGTCCCACACCAGCCCCCAGGAGCCAGTGGGTGGAAGGGGAGAGGCCCCTGAATAGCAAGGGGCAGTGATTACGGGGCTGGGCCGCCCCCGCCCGGCTCCACCCCATCAGGGCAGGAGTAGAACCCTGGTCCAGCGGGCGGGCGGGCTGGCCGTGGAGGAGGATGAAAGGTCCTGGGTCCAGCCGCCCCCCCCACCCACCCAACACAGCCGGAGGCCGGGGCTCTGAGGGTAGGGTGGTCCCCAGAGGGCCCCACGGGGCTTCCTGCAGCCTTCGCCCCCGCCTTGCCCCAGTCCCCCACCTGTGTCCTCAGCTCCCCAGTCCCTCCCCGAGCCTCTAGGTCCCAGGCCTCCCGGCAGAGGGCCAGGGAGGGGCCCGGGCCCGCCCAGAGCAGCCACTTGGGCAAAACCACAAGCGGGTTCTGCTTTGACAAAGGAAACAAAAATAGCAGGAGGTTAGAGAGAGAGGGAGAGAGAGAAGGGGAGGGAGGGGGAGGGACTGAGTGGTGCCAGAGACAGAGAGAGCTACCCAGAGGGCAGGGACGGGCTGGGAGCAGGCGAAGCAGACTCGCAGAAAGCTGCTGGATGTCTGGAGTGGCTCAGAGCGAACCAGCTGGGTGTGAAGGGGTGGGAGGCCGAAGGAAGGAGCTGCCTGCAATCTGGGGGTCCCCAGTGGGCCCGCTGCACATGAGCTGGCATGTCCTGGGCAGCACAGGAGTGGCCGGGAGGCCAGGTAGCCGGGCAGGAGCGCACAGTGCCCCTGCTCTGCTCACTGACACCATGCCCCCAGGGGTCGGAACTACTGTTATCCCATTTGACAGATGGGAAAACTGAGGCTCCAAGAGGCAAAGAAACATGCTGAGGCCTCACAGCAAGTAAGGGGCCAGGAGCAGGCTTGACGCCAGGCCCCGGTGAGAGTGTGTCCTTAACTGCCGAGGCCTCCTGGAGCCCACTGGGCCCACACACCACCCCGCCCATGCTCACAGCACCATGGGCCGGGGGGCACCATGCCACACGGGGAAACCAAAAACAAGCCCACCCTAAGGACAGGCCCGGCGCAGCCGCACGGGGCTCCTTGGGGCTGTCCTGGGGGGACGCTGTGCTGGGCGACCCCCAGCCCTGGGAGCAGAGGTTACCACACAGTTTTCTGGTTAATCAGTTCTAGCCAGGCCAGTGTTGCAAGAGCAGACTGGCTGGAGCTGCATGGCCCGGCCCGGTCAGTACCCCCGCTGACCTGCAGGCCCTCCAGGGGTCAAGCCCTTCAGAAGGAAAAATCGATCCTGCCTTTTTCTTTTGGAAGAGTCGTGACTCTCCACCCTGAGCTTCATGGCCCCAGCATGGAGCCCTGATTGGGTGGATCGCTCTGCCCGGGACTGTCACAGGCTTCACTCCCGCCTCGGGCACCATGTGCTGGCAGAACCCACGCTGAGACCTCCCGCTGGCCGATGGTGAGTCCCAGGCCCCTCTAGGGCCTGCCTGGGCCCCCCCACCGCTCCCTCGCTCAGTGCCAGCCTCCCTGCCATCCTGCCGCTCCGTGAACACCGGAGGCGCCCTCTGCCTGGGTTGCTTCTCCAGAAACCTCTCCTCTTTCAGATCAAGACTTCTTGTTCAGATCTCAACTCAAACATCCCTCCAGAAAGGGGGCCTCTCCAGCGGCCAGACTGCTGCTAGTTTATTCATGGCACTCATTACCGCTGAGACCGTTTGATTTGTGTGCTGGGTGTCTGGCTGCCCCAGGGGAGGTCAGCTCAGTCTTGTTTGCCTATGACCCCTGGACCTCACCTGGCATCTGGGATGCTGTTCAGTCACTCAGTCGTGTCCAACCTTTTGCGACCCCATGGACTACAGCACGCCAGGTTTCCCTGTCCTTCACCATCTCCCAGAGCTTGCTCAAACTCATGTCCATTGAGTCGATGATGCTGTCCAGCCATCTCATCCTCTGTTGTCCCCTTCTCCTCCTGCCCTCAATCTCTCCCAGCATCAGGGTCTTTCCCAGTGAGTTGGGAGCATGGCCATTTGGAGAGCACCCCAATTCCAAGCCTGCCGCTCATGAGTGGGCCTCAACTCACCTTCCTTCCCGGCCTCTACCACTCCTCATATGCACACACACATGTGCACACACACTGTCGCACACACACTCACACCACCCAGAAAAGGCAAGGTCAGGACAGGGCTCTGCCTGGGCAACTCCAGCCCTTGGCGGCCTGTGCAGCCAGCAGGTCAGCGGCCCACGGTGCCTCGGCCTCTGGAGTGAGTCAAGACCCAGCACACGCCGGGGAGCAGGCACTGCGCACGGCTGGCACGACGGGCTGCCTGTTGCCCACACCTGACCATGAGGCGGGTGCTCGGGACCGAGTCCTTCCTGGTGCAGCGTGTGGTGCGTTGCGCAGAGGGGCCCATCCGGACCGGCGAGTCAGGCCACCACCCACCCACAGCTCCAGACACGGGGTAGAAGTGGGTTGAGGTTAAAGGAGACAAAAGACCCGGGCGGCCTATTCCCCTCCTCGGCCCACCGCTCACCTGGTCCCTGGGCAGAGGCTGGGAGGCCCGGACCGTCCCCCTCCCGGCCTTGGGAGACCGCATCGCGAGCCCTTGCGGGACCAGGAGTCTTTCTGAGCACCTCCCCCCCCCCGCCCCGGCCCTAGACCGGGAGGAGACCGCAGGTGCCCCCACCCTGTCGGGGATCCCCGGCAGGCACTCACCAGGGCGCAGGGCGCGGGGCGCGGCGCCCAGGAGCAGAAGCGCGGCGCCCAGACACGCGGCCGCCAGTGCGCGCCGCCGCCCGTAGCGCCTCGTCATGGTTGCCCGGAGCGCGCCGCGCTCGGCCGGCCCGCGCTGGACTGGGACCGGGGCGCGACCTCCGTCCCGCCCCTGGACCCGCCCACGGGCTCGTGCTCAGACCGAACCGAAACCCAGGGCCGCCCAGGATCCACGCCCCAGGGCCGGGATCCTCCCGGCAGCGCGTACACCACTCCACCCCTGAGGCGCGGGGGTGCAAGGGCTTTGCTGTCTGGAGGCGGGCCGGGGCGGGGGTTGGGGGGTGGGCTCGTCCAGTCTGCCGGGCCCCTAGCCGGTCCAGCGGGACAGCGAGCAGCCACCCAGGGCGCAAAGGGTGGAGACCGGGCGGAGGAGCCCTGTCGCCGTCGCGGTTTCGTCTGTTTCCGCCCGCTCGCCCGGGGCGCCGTCCTCCGACGACTCCAGCAGCCTCGTCACAGTGGGTCGGGGCACCCGGTGCCCACTTTGCTCTTTTGCTGCGTGAAGCCGCCTGTACGAGACTCCCGCGGACTCCCCCAGCCCCAGAATCAGGCCAAGGGTGCCTCTCCCTCTCCGGAGCCCACCCTTTAGCCTTGCTCTCCATGGGGGTCTCCAGGTCCTGCCTGGACCCCGACGCTTGCAGGTGGCAGCCAGACTGGGGGCGGGGCTGAGATGGGGGTCTCCGTACCGCCTCTGGACATTAGGACTCCTGTTCCTTGCCTCCTCCCCACAACTGCTGCAGGCCCCAAGGGAGCACTCAGAGCTCCCTGAGGACTCCCGAGTGCAGGCTGGTGAGAGTGAATCCCGCCTTGAAAATGCACTCGCGCAGTGCCCCAGGGGGCTGGCAGACACGCCAGACCCCAGGGTCCTGCTGCCCAGTAATGGGGCTAGGAGGGCACCCAGGAGGCAGCTGGTGCTGCGTGTGCAGATCTGGGTGTGTGTGCGTGAGCCAACCCCGGGCAGCGTGAGTGTGTGGGAAAGGGGTGCATCTAAACTGCTTCCAGCCCTGCCGGCTTCTGTCCACCTGCTGTGTGAGGTCAGGAAAGCTGCCTAACCTCTCTGTGCCGAGCTCCCCCGTGCAGTGGGATTGCACTAGAACACACTTCATTGTGTAGTGGGAACCGAATGAGACCCAGGAGACGTTTGGCATGGCGTCTGGCACTCAGCTAGTGCCAGCTAAGTACTTGACACTGGTGATTAATGTATTATTACTGTTAGTTTCTGGCAGGTGGCTCTGGCTTCTGTTAAGGTGGTGACATAAAAATTCCTTCCCGTTCCGTGCAAGTCTACTTAAACGACAATATTAAGTAAATAACGGTTCTGCTATCTTAAAGATACGGCTCCAAATTCTATCCTAAGTCTCAAAGAGTAGAGGGCAGGAAACAGCCCACGGACAAGCCAGGAGCTCTGTATTGTGACTTTCCAGACGCCCAGGACAGAGGGCCTTGGGGAGCGTCCAGCTCACCCCAGAATAACCTGAAGGCAGGGCTGCGGCTGCTCTGGGCCTGGGACCCAGATTCTGGGTCATCCATTCGCCAGGCTGGTTCCGAACCGCCCCTCCCACCTGCTTGCGGACCTGGGTTCTCGGCAGCCCCAGCCGCAGGCAGGCTTCCTGGTGCCTGTGCTGCCACCTGGTGGCCGTGATGGGGAACAACATCTCAGCCCGTCCCAGTCCCCGAACGTCCAGGAGGGCCCCGGGGGCTGCGCTGGGTCTTGAGGTGGGAGGGCCCTCGTGCCCAGGGCTGGGGTGGGCACGAGAGGAGCAGCGGGCGGGCACGAGCATCGCAGCTGGTCAGAGGGCTGTGAGGACAACAGGGGCACGTAGAGAGGGGCCAGGTGCTGAGATGCGTCCCGCAGTGGGCAGCCGTCGAGAAGGCCCTGGAGGGAGAAGCCGGAGAGGTGGACAGGACCCCCCCGCTCCCAGCCCGTCGTGGCCACGTTGGGGCTCCCGGGGACCACAGCAGGCAGGGAGCGGGTGGCGCCCGGGGGGAGGCTGCGCATGGACAGGAATGGGTGGGCTCGGGGTGCAGGCCCTGTGCTGAAAGTGGACGGATCAGCAGTCAGGGCGCCCAGAGAAGGCCCCCGGGCAGGAGAGTGGAAGCGGGGAGGAAGGAACGCAGGGGAGGGGCTGAGGGCCCGGGGCGCGAGGTCTTGCCTGGCAGAGACGGGTCCCAGCGTGGCCTGGTGACAGTGCCAGGCCGGCAGGGCTCGGCTCTCGGTGCTGGTTGTCAGGGGCGAGGAAGAGAGGCTGGCCCGGACAGGCATGGGCCTGGGGGAGAAACCAGTGTGGGCACTCGATGCTGAAGAGGACAGGCCATGTCCAGGGTCAGGGGCCCGGGGCTGAGGCCGGAGGCACACACTGAGGGCCTGCCGGCCTTGCTTGGCGCCTTGTCACTTTCGCACTGTTCAATTGGTTTGTCCGTGGAGCACGGTGCAAACGCCCCAGAGTCCTTCTGGCATGACGCAGAGCCTTGGCAGCTCCAGCAGGACTAGCTGTGTGGCCGTGGGCAGGCCCCGTGCCCCGCAGAGCTCGGTCTGCACCCCCACGTGGTGGACCCTGAACCACAGGCCAGTCGCGGGGTCAGAGTGTCCAGCTGATGGCGGTGTCCCTGGGTGCAAACACCCAGAGGCGTCAGCCTCCTGCGTACGCGCCAGACGCAGGTGCTCACACACTTGTGCACATTGGGACGACACCCAAGGCCACGGGGCTGGCCGGCAGCAGAGCTGGGTCCACACCCAGGGCTGTTGCCGGCCCCTACCCGGGGCCGCTGGGGCCCTAGGGCGCCTCTTCCCGGCTCTGTGAGTGGCCCTGGGCCCCATCCGGAGCCAGGGTAGCTAACGGGCACCCCCTCCCCCAGAGATGACGACGGGGTCTCCTGAGAGTGGGGAGAGCTGCCCCTCCGTGGGGGCGTTACTGCCACTGGGTGGGCTCCGGCCAGCATGTCACCACTGGGTGGGAAGGAGGGATATGGGGCGGCCACACTCGATACCCCCGTCAGTGTCACGGGCCCCCCATCATCGCCTCTCATGGTGAGACTGCCCCCCGAGAGCACCGGGCAGACCCAACCCAGAGCCCCTCTCCCCACGCTGTGTCCCAGAAAACACTCCCCGCAGGCCAGCACCCCTCGGAGGGGACACGCAAACCCTCCCCCGGCATCCCCCCCTTGACGCCTGCCTCGCCCAGGACCCCGCCCCCTGGTCAGCACTGCCCTGACCCCAGGCCCTCGCCCTGGCCCGGGGCCCAGAGAAGGCCACAGGGGGTGGGCCTGCGGCCCGAGGGCCCCGCCCAGCTGCACAGGACACCTGGTCTCTCCGCAGCCCTCACATACAGCGGGCCTCCGTCCCAGCCTCCGCCAGCCATGTGCAGCCTCCAGGCGCTATGCTCCGGCCTGCCCCTGCGGCCCCTCCCGGAGAACCAGGGCCGGTGGGCTGGGGTGCCCCACGCCCCGGTCAGGACCCCCGGCCTCAGCCCCGCTGAGGAGCAGGTGAGAGGCTGAGCCCCCCGCCCTGCAGGGCTGCTCGCCTTCTGGGAGGTCTGGGAGGGCTTTGCCCACCAGCCTGGCCTTCGGGGCTCCCGGTGAGGGTGGCCATGGGCTGGGCACCCCCGTGCCAGCCTCCATCACGCCCGCCTCCCTCCTCCCGGCTGCCCGGCGGGCGTCGGCCTCTGGCCCCCACTGACTGAGGGTCCCTGAGGCTCGAGGTCACAGGTGGGCACCATCACCTCGACCTTGGGCCACCAGGGCCCAGGGGGCCTGCCGCCCGCTCCTCCCGGGAGCACCCGATGGCCTGGGACCTGGGGGTGGGGGCAGGGGCCCTGGGGACCAGGAAGGAAGGGGCAGCTGGATCCCTGCACCTCCTCCTTCCTGCTGGCGTTTGCTCTTTGACCCGGTCTTTGACACCGAGCTCCTAAATCGGCTTCAGTCCCCTGGGCAGTGGGGGCTCCTGGCGGGGCTGGTCACAGGGTCCAGGCCCTGATTGCACGTTGGGCCTTTCGGCCCCACCCCCATCCGCTGGAGAGGGCTGCAGGCCAGAGAGTGAGGGAATGAGTCCTTGCGACAGATTCTTCCTTGCAAAGGACTGCAAGGCCGCTCCCAGGGTCAGCGTGTCCGGGTCTGAAAGGGAGGCAGGTGCTGGGGTGGTGGGCGCACCTGGGAGCCCCCCCGCACCCCGGGTTCCTGCTTATCAGCTCACCTTCCTTCAGGTCCTTTCAGCACAAAAACCAAGGAGAGAGTGTCCTGAGTTCTAGGGGCTGTGCTGGCAGATTACCAAACCCGAGGGGCTGTGCCCCCAGTTCTCACTGGTTGTTCACGAGTGCAGGTGATGACCGGGTGTACGATCAGGGGCTGAAGTGGGGGTGTCTAGTGGGCCCGAGCCCTCAGCCTGTGGCCGGGGTCTGGGGGATCTCTGACCGACAGCGCCCCAGCGGGACTGAACTGAGGGCCTCCAGCGGGGTCGGGGGAGAGGAGGGCCCTGGAGGAGCCACATGTCCAGTCCCGGGGGGCGCCTGCGGGAGGACCCCCAGGCATCTCCTGGACCACCCCAAACCTGGCACGGCGTCCTCAGCCACCACCTTCACACTTTCTCGGGGCTGCTTTTCTGTTTTATTTAAATGTCCCTTTGAATGTCAACATCAGTTTTTAAAGGTAGTCATAAGAGAGATGCGTCACGTGTTATAACATTCTTTAATTTTTGGTGTCACCTTCCACACACATTCTGGTGCACACAAGATTGTGTGTGTGTCCTTCTTAAATCTCTAAGTGGGAGCTGTCCACACAGGCTGGTTTCTTTTGAGGCTGTTCCTCATTGGTGTGTTGTTGAAGTTTGGATGAACGAAAGCGTGCTCCCCTCTTAGTTCTTTTGTGAGTAGTTGTTGTTGAGTCACTCAGTCGTGTCCGACTCTTTGTGACCCCATAGACCGCAGCACGCCAGGCCTCCCTGTCCATCACCAGCTCCCAGAGTTTACTCAAACTCAGGTCCATTGAGTCAGTGATACCATCCACCCATCTCATCCTCTGTCATCCCCTTCTCCTCCGCCTTCAATCTTGCCCAGCATCAGGGTCTTTTCCAGTGACTCAGCTCTCCGCATCAGGTGGCCAAAGTCCTGGAGCGTCTGTAGGTGGATTTCTGTTCACCTGCAGAGTGTGGTCGGCTGTGATGCAGAGAAAGATTCCTGTCACATCCGTTAGAATCGTCCCCGGCATCCCCACCCCCGCCCCATGCAGCTGCTCTTGGTGACCTCTCCCCAAACTACACCCCACCCTCAGGGGGCTGTGCTGGACCTCCCACCACTGCGGACGCACTGCCCGCAGCTCCTGGAGAGTGAGGCTCAGTGGGGCTCACTTCTGGGTCTTCGGTGATGCCAGAGTCTTCTGTTGAATGAGCGAACAGGAGTATGTGCCGAGCCAACACCCTGAAAGAGCTCAGTGGGCAGGAGAAACCTAGGAAGGCTTCTTGGAGGAGGTGGTCTTGGCACCAGGGGCAAGTTTCCCAGACTGGGGAATCTGAGCGGGAGGCCATTCTGCAGGCCGTGAGTGACCACGTGGAGATGGGTCTGTGCAGAATAAACTGGGGTGGATGAGCCCTGTATAGGCCCGAGCTGGGTGTGGACCTGGGAAGCCAGGCCTGGCCTGGTCACAGAGAGGCTGAATGCCACCCCTAGGCACTGCGTCGGGCAGGGGCTGGCCTGCTGCTTGGCCCCCTGCCTGGCCCGCTGCCCACAGAGAGCCAGGCCCACATGAAGCTGGGGGCAGACAGATGCCCTGCGTGGCAGCCGTAAGTGTGGAGACGGTCATTCTGGCCGCTGGCCCTGTGCAGCCCATGCATGCCAGGCGCTGACCACGTCCACTCGGCCGGGCCCCGAGGCAGCCGTGTGAGGGAGGGCCGTCCGCTTGTCTTCCGAAAAAGGAGACTGCAGCTCAGGGAGGTGCGTGTGCGGGTCGGGGACCCGCGGAGACAGACTAGGGTGCAGGGATCAGAGAGGTGTGTGTACAGATTCAGACTGGGGTGCAGAGGTCTGGGATCCGAGGCACAATCTCTGGAGAGCCCCCCCCTCCCCTGCTGGGAAGAACCTGACCCACAGTCTGGACCTGGCGGGTCTGGCCTCAGTTTTGCCCAGTTCTGGTGAGGACCCCATGGGGCTGGGCTCCAGGGGTGCGGGGCTCAGACAAGGCCCAGTCTATCAGATCATTAGAAAATGAAACAGAGGGAGCCGGAGTCCAGCGGGATGTGTTTGGGTCCGCGTGTAAGATCAACTCCCACTGGGGAGGGTGATTGTGTGTGCCTGTGACGTGTTGCTTTTGAAACTCTTCTGTCAATGTTTGTTTTCACTTGCAAGCTCTGATTACAAGCTGTTCACTGATTTAAGAAAAAGAAAACACGCAGTGTCTGTGTCGTGGGCCTGACATGACCTTGAAGCGCTTGACCTCCAGCTCACGCCGGCCCCGCCTGCCCCTGAACCTGAGTCCACAGATTCCTGCCACGTGCCCCCCTGCACCCCCCGTGCCCCTCCTGCCCTGTCGCTGCGTGTCGTTGCACGGGCCCTCCTATCGTGGCTCCCTCGTGCCAGAAACTACTCAGAGACCCTGAGGGTAGGCCCACCCAATGTGCCTGACCCTCTGGGTGAGCCTGGGAGCCCCCTGTGGGCAGATTCCCAGCCACCTTTTGTGAGGGAGACACACACATTTCTGATCGCTTTTCCCCAGGGAGCAGGAACCATGTGCTTTTATTCCACGTTGAAGTCACCCAGGCACTTGCCGTGCAAACCTTTCAAGTCCCCTCACTCCTGAGCTGGGGTTTCCTCGCTGCCCTTCTCTCCCTCTACTCCTTCCAGAATCATCCTTACCCCGCCCACCCCACGCACCCCTCAGCCCCCAGGGGCACCCTTGATGTGTGGCGCTGGACTTGGGGCGCACAGGTCAGGCTGTCCCCCCTCCCGCCAGCCCCCGGCGCTCGCTGTCTCCAGGGCCGGCCCTCTGCCCTGCACACCAGCTGGTGCCTCAGGACCCAGGCCAGGCTGCAGGCTTCTCTCCGGCCACCTCTGCCATCGTCTGTTCAGAGCCTGTTCAAGGCTCGAGCTCCCTGCCCCCTCGGTGGATGTGTGTTGAATGAATACTTTCACACCAGCTCCTTATCGCGCCCCCTAAAGGAGTTTGTTCTGTAGGGTTGGCTGGTTGAATGCATGGCCTCAGTGTCCACCCCTGACACCCGGGCGTCACCCCACTCCCGGCCTGCGGGCTCCTCCTGGGTGCTGGGAGGGAGAGCATGGGGGAGGGGGGCCTGGTGGGACCCCCACCCTCCTTGAGCCCAGGGGAGACTGAGAACCAAGGGGACAAACCCACCCTGGAGCATGCAGAGATGCTCAGCCTGGGGAGGGGAGAACATGCAGGGAGGCAGGCAGCCCCTCCCACTGTAGCTCAGGCCACAGGCCATGTCCCGCTCTGGCCCTTGCCGGGGCTCAAGCAGCCTGGTGCCCAGTGAGCATGCAGAGGGAGGAACTGGAAGGCTGCTGACAGAGAACCAGAGGGCAATCAGGGAAGGCTTCCTGCAGGAGGTAACAGGGTAGTGGGCGTGGGGTGCGAAATGGGCAGTCTCGTGGCTGGGCCCTGGCTCTCTTGAGTGGAGCAGAGGCACATCCAGGAGGGCAGAGCTTGGCCTGGAGCCCACACACTCTGCCACCCTCACCACCCCCCCCAACCAATGCCCCGCCAGCTGGCGCTGAAGAACGCCCTCCGCTACTTCCCCCCGGATGTCCAGGAGGTGCTGGCCCCCGAGTTTGCCCAGGAGCTGCGGCTCTACGGCCACATCTACATGTATCGCTTTTGCCCCGACCTGGAGATGAGGTGAGTGCCGCAGGCTCGGCTTGGCCCCCTGGAACAGAGGCCTTGCTGTGAAGTGCGCCTCCTCTGGGCTGGAGCCTGTCCAGTGGTGGGGAGGGGCCGGCCGAGAGCACCTCCTGCTGGTGGGAGCTCCAAGTAGGGGCACCTTCTGCTGATGCCGGGGCTGGCCGTCCACGCCGGCAGGGCCAGGGGCCGGGCAGGGACGAGGCGGGACCTGAGCTTCCAGGCGCCCGCCCCTCGACTGGCCTGGCAGCTGGACCCCTTGCAGGGCCTACCCAGTGGAGCAGTACCCCTGCCGGACGAGGGCGGCTGCAGCCATCATGCTTATGATCATGAACAACTTGGACCCGGCCGTGGCACAGGTAACGGGCGGGGTCAGCAGCAGGAAACCAACATGTGAAACACACCAGCACTCGCAACACCCGCTAGCTTTCTACTTGGAAGCAGTGACAGATGCGATATAGACGCAAGTTGCTGAGTCCTGTCCAGATGTTTGTGACCCCAAATTCTCCAGGCCAGAACACGGGAGTAGGTGGCCACGTGAAAACTGAAAAGGAACAGGCTGAATACTGCGGTTGGTTGCAGTATATCCAAAATATCACAACATGTAATCATATAAAATCAAGATATTTTATAGTGTTTTTTTTTCCTACCAAGTCTTTGAAACCAGCGGTGGGTGTCATGCCTAGAGCTTGTCACGCAGGCCGTGGCTCAAGGTGCGAACGCTGCTGACGGCAGCCTGTGGCCGTGCTGGCCCACGCGGGTCTGGCCACACGTGCCCATCCTGGTGTCCTTGCATGCCAGCCCGTCCTGCAGCACCTGTATTCGAGAGAGGACAGCCTTTGGGGGGACCTGAGAGTTTACTTGAGGGCAGGAGGGTCCCAGGATGCAAGCACTCTGCTGAGCCCTGACTGGGTCACCCCCCAGCCCCCCACTCCTCCTCTAAGGGCCATTGGCCACTTGGGGGGCCATGACCACTGAGCCCAGCCAAGCTGCAGGCCTCCTTCCCCATGCCCCCATCTCAGGCGGCCCCGTGTCCTCCACAGTTTCCTCAGGAGCTCGTGACCTACGGAGGAAATGGGCAGGTGTTCAGCAACTGGGCACAGGTATGGACCCTGGACTGTGTGGGCAGGCAGGGGCGGGCCCACCATAGGCCTGTCCACCACCTACCTCCGCCCTGGCCTCCGGCCTGGAAGCGCCTGGCAGACTGGCCGTGGGGCTCAAGCTCTGCCTCCCTGATGCCCGAGATCCCAGAGGTCAGAGGTCCTGCGGTGGGGCCACTGGAGAGGAGTAGGGGGCCCCTTGGGGGGACTTGGGGCCAGTGTGGGGCCCCCCTCATCACCCCTGTGCCTCGTTCTCTGGCAGTTCTGGCTGACAATGTCCTACCTGGCCCAGATGACCGAGGAGCAGACACTGGTCATGTACAGCGGACACCCGCTTGGCCTTTTTCCCAGCAGCCCTGAGGCCCCCAGGCTGGTCATCACCAACGGGATGGTGGGTCCCGGGGCCGCGGGGAGGCCCAGCCACCACCCACCTGCCAAGCCGTCGCCCCCAAAAGCCAGGGCGCGGCCCCTAGCCCTCCGCCCACCCCTCTCTTGCAGGTCATTCCCAACTACTCCTCCAGGACGGAGTGTGAGAAGCTCTTTGCCATGGGGGTAACCATGTAAGTGCTATGGTTCGTGCTGTGGCCTTGGCCAGGCCCTGTGGTTAAAATGGCACCGTGACGGTGACTGCAGCTCTGAAAAGGCCTCACCATCAAAGCTCTATAGCGAGCTTCCGTATTTACACATTTCCTGCTCGTTTTCATGGATGTCCCTGCAACCTTCACACATGTGTGAGTGAGCAAATGTGCAGCTTGAATCCTACTTTTTGCAAGGGGGCTTCCCCGGTGGCTCAGACAGTAAAGCGTCTGTCTGCAATGCAGGAGACCAGGGTTCGATCCCTGGGTTGGGAAGATCCCCTGGAGAAGGAAATGGCAGCCCACTCCAGTATTCTTGCCCGGAAAATCCCATGGATGGCGGAGCCTGGTAGGCTACCTTCCACGGGTTTGCAAAGCGTCGGACACGACTGAGCGACTTCACTTTCTTTTGCAAGGACTCAGGTCTTGGCTGCAAAGGGGGCGTGGTGATGGCTTTGGTCCCTGAGCTGTGTGAGAACGAAGGGACACCGCCTGAGTGGATGGGGCCCCAAGGAGCATGGCCCTGGGGGAGCACGCCCCACGGCGGGCTTTACCCGCCTCCCTGGTGGGTGGGTATTGTGTCCGCACAATCGTCCTATTCACACAAGGTTACATGGCACGGATAACCACGCCCCATTTATCAGAAGAGGAAGCAGAGGTTCCCAGAGGCCCTGTGCTTGGCCCAAGTTCTGGGATTGGCTCGGAGTTTGGATGTGTGAGATCCAGGATCCGCCCTCAATCCAGAGAAGGGAGGGGGCCGGGGGCTGGTGGACCGGGTCCCCACAGTCACTGGGGAGCGCAGACACTCTCGCATCCCATCACGTGGCCAAAGATGCCAGTGTTGAATGGCCACCACGTGGCGCACGTGGGCGCCTCCTTCCCCGGATCTAGCCTAGAGGGCTCAGCAGGCCAGGGGCTTGCTCCCAGGAGCCTTGTTCTGTGGCCCGCCGAGCCGCCCGCTGACCGGCAGGGAGAGGGGCTCCTGCAGCCTGCCATGGGGCTCACGTTGGGTGCTGACATGTGGAGATGCCCCTGCCGGCCTGGTCGTCAGAATGGGCCCTTTATGTAAACGACAGCGACCCCTCGAGCGCTGTGCCCTGACTCTGCCAGAAACTAGGGGACTGACCTTTTCTGCAGGTTTCTGTTTTGATTAATTAATGAACTCATCTTTGGCTGTGCGGGTGTGTTGCTGTGCACAGGCTTCTTCCAGTTGCCATGAGCAGGGATTGCTTGTGTGGTGGCTCTGGGGCATGCGGGCCCAGGTGGGTGCAGCTCCCGGGCCCTCGAGCACTGTGGCTCACCTGCCCTGAGGCACGCGGGATCCTGCCGGACCTGGGATCAGACCCATGCCCCTGCCTTGGCAGGTGGACTCCCAGTGCCTCCTTTGGTTGTTGAAGGAGAATGTGCGATGCACGTGGGGGTGACAGGGCGCCTCAGACCCCGGGGAGTGGGGCGGGGAGACGCCCAGCACCTGCTCACACCCCTGCGTCCGCGGGCAGGTATGGCCAGATGACGGCGGGCAGTTACTGCTACATCGGCCCCCAGGGCATCGTCCACGGCACGGTGGTGAGCGGCGGGCTGCGGGGCCGCGGGGCTGGGGGGTGGTGGCCCAGCGAGGGTGGTGACCCCTCCTGCTCCCCCACAGCTCACCGTGTTGAACGCGGGGCGGCGCTACCTGGGGCTCCAGGACCTGGCGGGCAAGGTCTTCGTCACCTCCGGGCTGGGCGGCATGAGCGGGGCTCAGGCCAAAGCTGCCGTCATCGTGGGGTGCATCGGTGTGATCGCAGAGGTGAGCCCGCAGGGGCAGCCCCCCGCCCCCGCGAGAGCCCCCCTGCCGCCCTTGCCCTCCCTGCTCTTGCCTCTGCCCTCCCATCCCAGCAAGGCAGACACCCCTGCCTTCCAAGTGCCCATCACTGCTGGGCCTGGAGCCACGCTCCCAGGACCTGGTCTCCCTTGCCTTGGGGCCCTGAGGTCCAGCCGGGAGATGGTAAACCTGTGAATAAGTGAGCAGAGACCCCCGCCATCAGGACAGAGCTGTCAGGTCAGGGGGAAGAGTGGGCGAGGGCCAACATCTCTAGAGTCTCTTGAGCTTCCCTCCTGGATACAAAGTGGCTTCCCCAGCTCCAGCCCCCTCATCTATATTCAAGGCAGACAGAAGGGGGAATGCCAGCTATGGCTGACTCTAGCAGAAAAATAATGCCTTAGAAACTCGTTTTACCACATTGGTCAGTACGGGCTCACATGGATGTTGTCATCTACAAGGATGGAGGGAAGGCGTGAGAGGGCAGTTGGGATTAGCTGGGAGCAGAGCATCTCCCTGAGTGAAATCCGGGTTTGTTGACGTGGAGGCAGGAGGCGGCTCACAGCAGCTCGTAGGGTCGCCCCGCCCTGTTGGGAAGGGGGTGATCTTCACCCCTGCCCCGCGGCCCCAGGTGGATGGCGCGGCCCTCATGAAACGCCACCGGCAAGGCTGGCTGATGGAAGTGACCGACAGCTTGGACCACTGCATCGAAAGACTCAGGTGCGAGGCCTGGCGCGGGGGAGAGTGGGCTGGGAACGCTTGACCTCTGCTCCTCACTGGTGGCTCCTGGGAGTGTGGAGTGGCCCGGTGCATCTGTGCTGCCCACACACGCGGTCTCACGGACATCCGTCGTCCTGCGGGTGACCCCTCCGCTCAGCCACGGTTGGGCAAAGACCACGTCTTACGTTTCTCCCTTCTGTGCCTCGGTGCCCAGCCCAGAGCCTGGCACACGGGAGGCGCTGCTTGGAGCTGCTGAACCTCCACAGGATCCATCTGGACCCGCGGCTCCTCCCCACGGGGACCAAGGCTGGTGCAGGGTCCCGGGACCCTTCCCAGCTGTGTGCCGTCTGCTGAGATTTCTCAATGGGGACAGACAGGGCCACCGGGAGGCCGCTCCTCAGATGCTGTCTTTGAAGCATTCTCTCAGCTGATTGCTCTGCAGAGCTGAGCACCTCCTGTGGGGGGAGTTTGCCTCGGCACAGAGGGCTTCACCTGCTGTGACGAGACCTGCCCAGAGGCGCAAGGGGACTTAGGTGACACTTTTTAAGAAATACTCCCATTACTGAGACTGGAGACTCTTTTGACACAGATCTTTGAAAACTTGCTGAAAACACTCCATTAATTACTGGAGAAATTCTAAACTCCTTATGTGGCAGGGAGGGTCTTAACCTGATCTGGCCATGACCCTGTGGGTGCATCTGGAACACAGGTGCACACACATGCACTTGCGTGCTTATGGGCACGCACATGCTCACACATGTCCAACCACTGTGCTGTTTCTGTCATCTCTGAATTTTTGTCACTCACACAAAGGTTGGGCACTTAACTCCCACAGTCACACACAGAAACACACACACAAGTCTAAATCAGAGTAACAGATGCTTCCGCAGCCGCTTTCGTGTATTCAGGTCTCCTGTTCCCCCAGACAGCAGGCCGGGGCTGCACCTTTGTCAGCCAGTCCTCAGTGAGGGCCCCCCGGTCCGCTGTGCCCCTCAGCCGGGGGCCTCATGGGTCCCCAGCCATATACTCATGCAGTGCTGTGGGTGCCTCCCGGGCCTCTGCGTCCTCACCAGCTGGGCACTGAGGTGCAGGATGTTGGGGTGTTGCCCTGGGCAGGAGTGATGAGGCCGCCTGTCCTGCTCCTGCCCCTTGCAGGGAAGCGAGGAAGAGGAAGGAGGTGCTCAGCCTTGGTTACCATGGCAACGTGGTGGACCTCTGGTGAGTGGAGAGCTGGCTGCCTTGAGGACCCCCAGTGAGCCCTTGGCCGCGGTCCCAATGCTGGCCCGGTGCTCCTGGCTGTCATGGCCCTGGCACAGCTCACGGCAGACCCCCCACCCCGGCCAGGGGTGCAGATGAGCCCCATGCCTGGCTACAGGGCCTGTAGGCCGGGAATACCGTGTGCCCTCCTGGATGGACCCTGAGCTGGGGCGCTGGCAGTACCCGCCCTGACTGGCCGTCTCCCCGCAGGGAGCGCCTGGTGCACGAGCTGGACACAACGGGGGAGCTCCTGGTGGACCTGGGGTCTGACCAGACGTCCTGCCACAGCCCGTTCAATGGCGGCTACTACCCTGTGCAGCTGGGCTTCGCAGAGGCCCGGAGCCTCATGGCCTCCGACCCCACTGCCTTCAAAGGCCTGGTCCAGGAGAGGTGATGCGGGCCCGGGCTGCCCGCGCGAGGGGTGGGGGTGCACACCGCCTGCTGGGGCTTTGGATAGGGTGGCTCTGTCCTCTGCCTGGTTCTCCGTCCACCAGCTGTGTGGCCTTGTGCAAGACCCTTAACCTCTCTGTGCCTCTGTCCCCTCCTCTGTCAGACAGGGTCATGAGTGCGTTGTTCCATGGGGATGTTGGGGATAGACTGGGGTAACATTTGCAAAACACTGAGGGCAGCTTCCAGCACCTCTGGGTGCTGCATAGATGCTGGTAGAGGGGAGCCCGAGGCGCTTCCAGAAGAGGTCATTGCTTGTTCACCACGGGAGCCTGGGCCCCGTGCCTGGCTGGCTGGGACCTGTAGGCACTAGTTGAGTGACTGCCTGCAGGGTCTTCCCTGAAGGGAGAGAGACTCTGAGCAACCCCAGGGGTGGGGGGCTTCCCAGTGGGAGGTGCTGGAGGTGGAGCAGGCAGGGGCGGGGTCAGGAGGAGTGGAGTCATAAGGGGAGGAGCCTGAAGGGGTGGAGTCCGGAGGGGAGGAGTCCGAAGGGGTGGAGTCCGGAGGGGAGGAGTCCCATGGGGAGGAGTCCGCAGCAGGCTGAGTCGAGAGGGGAGGCGTCGGCGGGCAGTGGTGCTGGCGCTGGCGCTTGCTGACTGCTGACCGCTCCTTTGCAGCTTGCGGAGGCACGTCTCAGCTATCAACAGGCTGGCCCAGGAGCACTTCTTCTTTTGGGACTATGGCAACGCCTTCCTCCTGGAGGCCCAGAGAGCCGGTGAGGGAGGCAGGAGGGGGCCCGGGCACACTCGCCTAGCTGCAGGCCTGGCCGGCCGCCACTGCAGCCAGCAGGACGGGCCTTGGCATGCCTTCTGGGGGTGGCCCTGCCAGGCCTCCGCTTCGCCGGGCCTCGGTCTCTCCCAGTGACTCTGGGCCCATCTGTGCGCACAGGGGCCGACGTGGGGAAGCCGGGCGCCAACAGGACAGAGTTCCGCTACCCCTCCTATGTGCAGCACATCATGGGGTGAGTGGGAGCGCTCCCAGCGTCAGCCCTTAGACACGCAGGTCCGCAGACATGCTCACACTGCTCAAGCCGCCTGCCGAGACCTACGCTTGGTCCCAGGTGGCCATGGCCCCAGTCATGGGGTTTCCACCCCAGCGGGCAGGGGGAGAGGAGCTGAAAACGTGAGAGTCTGTGCAGCGTCTCAGGGAGAGAACAGGGGTTGGGGGCCGTGCCTGAGGTCACCTCCGGAGAGCACCCCAACCTCCAGGTGCTCAGGGCTGACCCCCACCAGGTCCTGGACGCTGTGGCCGAGGAGCTGTGCGACCCTCAGTGGCGCCCCAGCCCCGAGCGGGTGGTCAAGGGCCCCGTCCCTGCAGCCCTTGCGCCTTCCTGGCCGACGGGGGCCTGAACTAGCAGGAACAGGGCAGCTGCTGCAGGGCGAAGACAGGGTGGAGTCTGCCCCCAGGCAGCTGGGTGGGGCGGGAGGCCCCCGGGTGTGCAGCAGAGAGGACCTGCGGGAGGCGGGGGAGGGGGTGAGAGAGGCCAGCACCGTTCTCAGGTTCATTGTTGGAAGGGAGAGGGCCAGAGTGGGGCCATGACCACAGGCTGGGGGGGGGGGGTCCCCAGGGGGCAACAGGAAGGGAGCCCAGCAGAGGGTGGGTGGGCGCGAAGCCTAGGGAGGGCCTGCACCCCTCTGCCTGGAGCCCCCTTGAAGGTCCCAGCAAACGGGCCGAGTTTCTGTTGATTGTGCACTCCCGCCTGGTTTTCAGGTTGTCTCTAACCATGGTTTAGGGAAGCTCTGCTTGTCTGTGTCCCAGCTCCCTGCTCCTGTAGCCAGAGAAGCTGCAGCTCTGGGAGGGATGCTGTGGTGATGGAGGGGGTGGGCAGGGTTGGGACCGCTGCACGTGCTGGTTGAGAGGCTTCCGGCAACCTTGCTGGTCGTACTTTGTGTACAGCCTTCACCCCGTCAGTTCTGGAGCATCTGCGGCCTCCCTGACCTTGGACCATGCCGATCCCAGCTCCTGGGGCTGCGGCTAGCCCGAAAGCCAACCCTCCCCCACCCGCCGGTGACGAGACGTCTGCCTTTGCAGGGACATATTCTCCCAGGGCTTTGGGCCTTTCCGCTGGGTGTGCACCTCGGGGGACCCCCAGGACCTGGTGGTCACAGATCGGTTGGCCATGTCTGTGTTGGAGGAGATTGTTGCTGGCGGAGGTGAGGCTGAAGATGCTGGTGTGCGGGTGGCCCCCCTGCCTGGCAGTGCCTGGAGCCTGGACGCAGGGTCCACCCCCCGGCCCCATGGGCACAAGGCACATTCCCTGGGGTTGCCTGTGGACGGTGCTCGGGCTCCTGTAGCCAGCCCTGTGCTGACCTGTGCCGCCCCCTCCACGTGTCCAGGCCGCTCTGCTCTCTCCACATCAGAGCTGCCCCAGGCTGTCTGTGGACACAGCGTGGCTCTGCTCCCCCGCCGTGGGTGGCCCTGGCCCAGCCGCAGACCCTCCTTATATAGTGGAAGGGGCACGAGGACCCAGTTACTTTATGGCACCTCCCCGGCCCCCTGCCTGTCACAGCTCCTGCCCTGTTGCTCTGCGGCTTCTCCCTGGGCCCAGGCAGCCTTCTCTGTTGGTCGTGGGTCAACCTTTGCAGCTTACTGTAGGCCCTCCGGGGACAGTTTCGCCCTGCCGCCCACATCTGGGCTGGCTGAGCTGAGTGGCAGGGCTTAGGGTCAGGGGACCCAGGAGGAGAACCTGATGGGCAAGGCCACCTCGTGGGCAGAGCCACCCCTACTGGCTCGGGAAGAAACTGAGGCAGTTCAGTTCTGCCCAGTCACTCAGTCGTGTCCAGCTCTTTGCAACCCCATGGACTGTGGCACACCAGGCCTCCCTGTCCACCACCAACTCCCGGAGTTTGCTCAAACTCATGTCCATCGAGTCGGGGATGCCATCCAACCATCTCATCCTCTGTCGTCCCCTTCTCCTCCCGCCTGCAGTCTTTCCCAGCATCAGGGTCTTTTCCAATGAGTCAGCTCTTCACATCAGGTGGCCAAAGGAGTTTCAGCTTCAGCATCAGTCCATCCAATGAATATTCAGGACTGATTTCCTTTAGGATAGACTGGTTGGATCTCCTTGCAGTCCAAGGGACTCTCAAGAGTCTTCTCCAACACCACAGTTCAAAAGCATCCATTCTTCAGCACTCAGCTTTCTTTATGGTCCAACTCTCACATCCATACACGACTACTGGAAAAACCATAGCTTTGCTAGATGGACCTTTGTTGGCAAAGTAATGTCTCTTTAATATGCTGTCTAGATTGGTCATAGCTTTTCTTCCAAGGAGCTAGTGTCTTTCAATTTCTTGGCTGCAGTCACCATCTGCAGTGATTTTGGAGCCCCCCAAAATAAAGTCTCTCACTGTTTCCATTGTTTCCCCATCTATTTGCCATGAAGTGATAGACCTGGATGCCGTGATCTTAGTTTTCTGAATGTTGAGTTTTAAGCCAACTTTTTCACTGTTCTCTTTCACTTTCATCAAGAGGCTCTTTAGTTCTTCTTCGCTTTCTGCCATAAGGGTGGTGTCATCTACATATCTGAGGTTATTGATATTTCTCCTGGCAATCTTAATTCCAGCTTGTGCTTCATCCTGCCCAGTATTTCTCGTGATGTACTCTGCATATGAGTTAAATAAACAGGTTAAGAATATACAGCCTTGATGCACTCCTTGCCCAATATTGAACTAGTCTGTTGTTCCATGTCCGGTTCTAACCGTTGCTTCTTGACCTGCATACAGATTTCTCAGGAGGCAGGTAAGGTGGTCTGGTATTCCCATCTCTTGAAGAATGTTCCACAGTTTGTTGTGATCCACACAGTCAAAGGCTTTGGCTTAGTTAGTAAAGCAGAAGTAGATGTTTTTCTTTCTGGAAGTCTTGCTTTTTTGATGATCCAGCTGATGTTGGCAATTTGATCTCTGGTTCCTCTGGCTTTTCTAAATCCAGCTTGAACATCTGGAAGTTCATGGTTCACGTATTGTTGAAGCCTGGCTTGGAGAATTTTGATCATTACTTTGCTAGCATGTGAGATGAGTGCAATTGTGTGATAGTTTGAACACTGTTTGGCATTGCCTTTCTTTGGGATTGGAATGAAACTGACCTTTTCCAGTCTTGTGGCCACTGCTGAGTTTTCCAAATTTGCTGGCATATTGAGTGCAGCACTTTCACAGCATCATCTTTTAGCATTTGAAATAGCTCAACTGGAATTCCATCGCCTCCACTAGCTTTGTTTGTAGTAATGCTTCCTAAGGCCCACTTGACTTCACATTCCAGGATGTCTGGCTCTAGGTGTGTGATCATACCATTGTGATCTGGGTGGCCTCCTCCAGCTTCTGGATGTTTGTACAGCTGCAGACCCTCAACCTGCCAGGTGACTGCTGGTGTTCCCACCATAACCACCCTCCAGGGGCGATTTCAAGCAAGCGAGGCTCCGCATGGAGCGGGAGCAGGGTGTCCCCCAGCCAGAAAACCTCGGGGCACAGCTCCTAGTAAGGAGCAGGAACATCACTAAGTGATGTGGGAACATTACCTTCATTTTTAATACAATTTTTTCAGTTTATTTGACTGAAACTTTATAGACATCTGTAAACCACAGGCTCACAGAATTCCTGCAGATTTAGTAGTCTGTTCCCACGAGCACCTTGGCGGACCCCCCTCTCCAGCCCTCCACTCTTTTTTTTTTCAGCCCTCCACTCTTAACTGCCTGCCTGTCCTACCTCGAGAGGCCTCAGCGCCTCTGTACTTGATGCCCCCTCTGCAAAATGCTGTTCCCTCAATTCGATGTAGCTGGCTCCTCTTTAGCATCTTGACACTTGCCTTGAGTGTCACCTCTCCAGAGAGGCCCCTGGTCCCCCTGACCCCCCACCCCAGTCTCAACTGCACTTGTTTCCTTCTTGGCCTGCAGTAGTCTTGGCTCTGGAGCCTGGCACGTAGCAGATGCTCCTTAGATATTCACTGCGGGTCGAGTGCTGACTCGCCCAATTGCTGGCATTGCCATTGCCAGAAGTCAGATGGGCTGGTGGGAAGCTGGGGATGGGGGCATCCTGACCCTGCTCGGCGTCCAGTGGTGGGTGCAGACGGGTGCCTTAGCCCAGCAGCCTTGCAGCGGGAGTGTATGCCCCCACCGTGGGGGCAGGGGCTCTGGTACCTGTGACACCCCCTCCCCTGCCTGCAGTGACCCCGGCCGTGAAGCTCCAGTATGTGGACAACATCCACTGGATCCGGGAGGCTGCTAAGCACCAGCTGGTGAGGCTCCAGCTGAGGGCGGGGGGGGGGGGGGGCGGTGTGGACCTTGCCCCAGGTAAGATGCTGCTCACTATCTGGACAGCTTGGGGAGGCCCTACTGGCCACCTCGCCCAGGGGCACTGTACAGAGAAGCCTTTCAGAAGGTGGCCTGGACTCAGGTAGCAGGGGCAGCGACCTGGGTCAGGTAGGTCCTTCCTCCCATCATGGCCCGGCAGGTCCCTGGAGCCAGACCTCCTGACTTCTCAGCTGTGTGACCTGGGGTGAGTGGCTTGGCCTCTCTGGGCCTCCCCTCCCATCTGCACAGTGGATACTGGAGGTGGTACAGCCCCTGGCTGTGGTGCGGGGCTTGGAGCAGGACCTCTGCGGGGCCAGGGCAGGGCAGATGGGTGTTTCTATGCCTGTGAGCATGACCACAGATCAGATGACCCAGGGAGTTGGAGGTAGGGGGTGTTGGCAGTGTAGCAGAAGGGTGTCTCTGAGGAGCTGACTTGCAAGTTCAGGCCTAAGCGGGGCTGGGTCGGAGGGTGACAGTTGGGAAGCAGAGGGACCCCCAGCCAGTGCACAGGTCTGGGGAGGCAGCTGGCCGGATGCGCCCAGACCAAACAAAAGACAGGCGTTTGGTTCTGATGGCTGGACGCTGCCACGTCTGCACCAGTGAGTCCTTGGCCTGGGGTTCAGCCACACCTGCCCTGAGCAGTGGCCCCCGTTCCTGGGCTTCCCAGTCCAACCCCATCCACCCAGACTGCCGCCGCCGCCTGTACCAGTGGTTGCATGTGTGTTTCTCCGCGGAACCCCTCATGCCAACCACCCAGTGCCTGAGATGTCCAGATGTCCACGGCGGGGCCGCTGGACTTGAAGACCTGGGCCTGGGGAGGGTGGGGCAGGAGGTGGAGATGGGGGCGGGGCCTGACGGAGACGCACAGCTCGTCACCTCCCAGGAGAGAGTCTGTCAGCCTGGAGCCCCTGGGGCTAGCCCTGCGGTGACTGGTCAGGAGGGATATCTGCAGTAGACGCCCCCAGACTGCACTAGACACACGGGCCGGGCATGGGGCTGGGCTCCCGCGACTGCCGTCCAGCGGCTGGGGTCGTGTCTCCTGAGCATCACCCTTCTCGCCACAGGTGGTGGGCTCCCAGGCCAGGATCCTGTATTCGGACCAAAAAGGCCGTGTGGCCATCGCCATGGCCTTCAACCAAGCCATCGCCCGTGGGGAGCTCAAGGTGGGCGCCCCGCCAGGCCAGCCCTCAAGCCCGGGCTCTGCTGTGCGCCCTGCCGTGAGACTCTGGGCAGTCAGGGGCCATGTCTGAGCCTTGTAACCTCAAAGCGTGGCTTCCCCTCCAGTGTTTCAGGCTGTCTTTGTTGAACTGTCCCTTTCACAGGGCGACAACCAGACCCGCCTTACTCCGTCTCCCTAGCGGTCAGCCGCGCCTACCTCGCTCGGTGCAGGCGCACGCGGCGCCAAAGCTGTGGGCGGTACAGCTGTGGTCGCTCCAGCTACGGCGCTTCATCCCCCCCCCCTCCGCCTCCTCCTTCCTCCCTCCTTCCGGTCAGCTCCGCCCACCTCGCTCGGCACATGCGCGCAGGGCGCCTCTTCGTCCCACCTCCCTCTCCATCTCTCCTTCCTCCCGCCTCCTTCCAGGCAGCCCTGTTCACCTCGCTCGGCGCATGCGCGTACGGCGCGTCTTCGTCCCCATCCTCTCCTTCCGCCCTCTCCTTCCTGAGCGCCCCCTCGCCCCGGTGCAAACCTTGCTCCGTCACGGGTCTCCCGGCAGAGCACAGGGCAGACAGGGTTCCGCCCGGTGCAGGTGGAGGGACACTGTGGATGCGTGGGCAAGGCCATCGGCCCACGGGCTGTGAGCGTGCTGCGCTCCGCGGGTGAAGTGAGTGAGCAGAGCGCGTAGGGTCAGGACTGGGCTCCGTGCTGCAGGCGGAGCCGTGAGTGTTCCCGGCGCCAGCGCACGGGGCTGGGGGTCCCGTGCAGAGCGGGATCAGGCCCGACCTGCTGAAGCGCTGGGCAGCTCCTGCGACCTCCGATGAGCGCCAAAGCCCCGGCCTGTCCCTGCAGCCCTGAGACTGGGGCTCCGTAAAGTGGGCGTGGTGACTGTGGACAGGGTAGCGGTGACTCTGAGCCAGCATCTGGGGGCGCACGGGCTCTGGGTGGACAGAAGGGGCATCTCTGGGCAGTCACAGGGGGCGAGGGGCATTGGAACCCCCTGCGCCCTCCTGCAGAGGGTCTGCTTCCCAGGGTAGTCCAAAGGGCGTCTGACGTGGCCTGACCCTTGAACTCTGCCCCGGGCCAGGCAGTGGACACCGCCGCTGACCTTTCATGCCCTTCCACACCGCAGGCACCGGTGGTCCTGAGCCGAGACCACCATGACGTGAGTGGCACCGACAGCCCCTTTCGGGAGACCTCCAACATTTACGACGGCTCTGCCTTCTGTGCAGGTGAGGAGGACGGCGCGTCTAAAATGTGTTTCTGTTGGATTTGGATTTTATGTAAAAATCAAGTGGTTCATTCAATCTGTCACGGTGCTGCGGAAAAGGCTGCTGGCTTCTGAGGGGCCAAGGCCCAGGGTGACCAGCCCATGATGGAGGCGGCTCTGGGACACTGGACACAGTTGTAAACGTGAGCTGGAGCCAGTGGACCGGGCCGGTGGATGCCCAAAAGCTGGGCACGGCTGGCCCCGTCACTTGCCAAGGGGTCCGCAGAGGGCCCTCAGGGTCCTCGTCTGTGACGTGGGGCCAACAGCGGGCCCTTCTCTGTTGTGAAGGGTGCACTGAGTTCAGGTGTGGGAGTCATGTCAGCTCCCCCAGCCCGGGTTCTGTGAGGGGCTGTTACCATCACACAGAGTGCCTTCTGCTCCTGGGGGCTTTCTTGTCCCCAGCACCTGAGGCTGTGGGGTTCACACGGTCTTTCCTGATATTAGTCTTTTCTGTCTTCTTTCTCTTTCCTTGATCAGCTTGGCTAGACATTTTTCAATTTTATTGATCTTCTCAAAGAAGTTTTTAGTTAGATTTTTTTCTATTACTTTTTTGCTTTCAAATTGATGGATGTCTAGTCTTATCTTTACTATGACCTTCTTCCTATTTACTATTTTAGTTTAGTTTGCTCTTCTTTCTCCAGTTTCATAAGGTTTTCTTTTCTAATAAGAATATTTTAATGTTATGAATTTCTCTCTAATCTTACCAATTTTTGCAAAATATATTTTTATTTTCATTCAGTTCAAAATACTTTTAAATTTCCTTTGGTACATCCTCTTGGAACCATGGATTATTGTGAAGTATCTTTTTAAATTTTCAAATGTGGGGAGATTTTTCAGTTAATCTTTCTGTTACTGACTTCTGAGTTAATTCCAATATAGTCTGAGAGCTTACTTTGTATTCATCCTGTTATTTTAAACTTGTGTTAAGGGTTGTGTTGTGGCCTCGAAGGTGGTCCGTCTTGATGCACCTGGGAAGAACATGTATTCTGCTGTTACTTGGGGGCTTGTTCTTTCTTATTTTTTTTTTAATTTTTAAGCAGTTTTTTTGATGTGGACCATCTTTATTGAATATGTAACAACACTGCTTCTGTTTTATGTTCTGGTTTTTTGACCGTGAGGCACATGGGCATCTTAGCTCCCCAACTGGGGATGGAACCTGCACCCCCTGCATTGGAAGGTGACGTTTTAACCACTCGACCACCAGAGAAGTGCTGGGGGCTTTCTCTACATCTCACCTAGGTGAAGTCGGTTAATAATGCTCCTCCTGTGGTCAGGACCCTTGCTGACCTTCTGCTGACATGTCCCCTAGATGACCGAGAGTGAGGTGATGCAGTTCCCGACTCTGCATTTGTCTGTTTCCTCCACAGTCGTCCCCTGCTGTGCCGTGTTTTAAAGCTATGTTGTCAGGCGTGCCCTTGTTTATGTGTTTATGTGTATTGTCTCTTCTTGGAAAATTGACCTTTTTACCATCTTGTGACGGCTCTCTTTATTTCTTTTTTCGTTTTAAAACATTTTTTGGCTGCCTCATGCGACACGTGGGATCCTAGTACCCTGACCAGGGATCAAACCCCGGGCCCCCTGTGTTGGGAGCGCAGAGTCTTAACTGCAGGACCACCAGAGACGCCCCTTTTTATCCTTGATACTGCTGGCTCTCACGTTCTGTGACATTAATGTAGTTTACATTGGTATTCTTCGGGTGTAACAATTGACCGCTAACTTAAAGGCTGGAAGCAGCATGAGCGTGTTCCCTGAAGTTCTGAAGACCCGATGTCTGAAATCAATTTCTCGAGGCCTAGGTCGAAGTGTGGGCAGGGCCCCGATGTCTCAGGAGGCAGCCAGGGGCGGGTGGGTGGCTCCTTGACCTTTGCCAGGTTCTGGAGCTGTTCTGGTGCATCTCACAGCCCCATGCGAGACGGAGTCATTCCCAGGACCCCGCCTCTTCTCTGCGGGGGCTTTGAGGAAGAGCCCACCAGGGGCAAGGCCCTTTGTCCCTGGCCCGGGGGCTGGTATCAGGGCGGCTCCGACTCTTTCAGCAGGTCCTTGGACAGTGGTGAGGCTCGGTTCCCGCCTCTGTGCGGGTGCCTGTCTGCCTGCAGAGTCCTGTCTGGCGTCCTGCCCTGGGGCCTCGCCTGGTGATGCCCGGGGCAGTCCGCAGCGTGCAGCTTGTCCCCCGCCTGCTGGCTTGTTTCTCTGAAGGGTGGGACTGATGCTGTTTGTCACTTGAGCGACAGTTCCTCCGTCCTCGGTGCCTCTGGGGTGCTGCCCCTGTGCCTGTACTGGGCAGGTGGCAGTGGGCATCGGGCACTCGTTCGGTGCTCCCGCTTCACTGGGCTCTGAGAACGCAGTGTCTGCAATTCCTACAGTCGCCCTCCCTGGTTCCTGTCTGAGCCCCCGACCCTGGCCCAGGCTGGCCGCCTTGCCAGGGGCTGACCGCGCTCTCTTTCTGCAGACATGGCCGTGCAGAACTTTGTGGGCGATGCGTTCCGTGGAGCCACCTGGGTCGCCCTGCACAACGGTGGTGGTGTTGGCTGGTAAGAAGGTTCCTGAGGGCCAGTGGCGCAGGTGGGGGCTCCCCGGGAGTCTCGGGGGGCCCTCCCACATCCCGCGCCTGTCTCTCCAAGCTCCCTCTACTGAGGGCTCCTTGTGTGAACTGGACGTGGGGGCCCTGCCCAGCCTGCCCCGTGCAGTCTCCTGCCTCTTGCGGGACACTGTGAGTCGTCCTTTCCCGTGTGGTTCTTCTGCTGCTTTCAGATGTTCTCCAGGGAACCCTTAGAGTCATCCTGGCCCCGTCCTTTGACTTCGCCAGGGCGGCTGGGCTGGGCAGCGGCAACCTGGATCTGGGCTCCCTGGCTCCTGGCCCTGCGCTGCCCAGCCAGGCCTGTCTCCAGCCCAAGCTACAGGCCAGCTGGGGTTCTGGGGGGCTCCCTCCTGGGCCATAGACGAGTGCCCTTGCGAGGTTGTCCCTGATTCTGCACCCAGTTTCAGCCCATGGGCGTTTCCAGCACCGGGTGTCCTGCAGCTCAGCGCAGCTCAGCTCAGCTCAGGCCCCATGCTTTCAGCCTGGAGATGACACCACATCCCACAGCTGGGGGCTCACTCCCTCAGGGCCAGCCCCCTCCACTCACCGCCCCACTTCCTGACCCTCGTCACAGGCCTGCAGCGTCACCTGTGCTCCCCTCGCCCCCAGCTGGAGATCACAGGTCCCTACGGTCCCTACGGCTCAGTTCCCCTGCTTTGCTGGAGCAGCTCACGGAAGGCAGGGATTTCTGAAAAAAATGACAAAAGACATCAAAGGGTGTGAATCAGTAGCCAGAGGAGGAGGCACATGGGGTGAGCACGAAAAGGATCACCTGACCGCAGGGGCCGGGGCAGGCACAGCCACACGTGCCCGTGTTCTGGTTCCCCAGCCGGCCGCTCTCCAGGCCCCTCCTCTGGGGCTTCCCTGGAGGATTCCTTCCACGGGTGTGACTGACTCCATCACTGGCCACGGGTGACTGGTTCCACCTCCAGCCCTTCCCCCTCTGCAGTGGTCAGGGCCTGGGCCCCAGGTTCCAATTGTGGGTCACAGGGTGGCTCCTCCGGCAGCCAGCCCTGCCCACTTGGGTGAATTCCCAAAGTCACCTCATCAGCAGGACGAAAGACACCTTCATCCTGCTCATCACAGGAAATTACAAGGGTTTAAGGAGCTCTGTGCTGGGAACCATGAACAAAGACCAAACGTTTATTTCTCATTATAAGTAACAATGTCCCATTTGCTGCTGAGAAAAATGAATAACTGGTGTCCATCCTAAAGGAGATCAGTCCTGAGTATTTACTGGAAGGACAGATGCTGAAGCTGAAACTCCAGTACTTTGGCCACATGATGCAAAGAACTGACTTATCTGAAAAGACACTGATGCTGAGAGAGATTGAAGGCGGGAGGAAAAGGGGACGACAGAGGATGAGATGGTTGGACGGCATCACCAACTTGATGGACTCGGTGAATGGGTTCTGGAGATGACGGCATTCCTCTGGTGGGGGCTGGAGCCAGTGGTGGAGCCGGGTCTGGATTTATATCTTTTGTCCCCAGATTCCCGAAATAGGAGCCAGGACGGCAGAAGGCAGGCGGGGCAGGACATGAGGGCCTCGGGCACTGCTCGCCATGGGGGCCCCCCCACCAGGCTGCCCCCAAGGCTCTGACGGCGCGGCCCGTGAGGCGCTGGCACCGAGGCTGTTAGTCATGGTGCCCTAGGGGGCTCCTTTGGGAAATTGCCTAGGTTGACTGCAGAATCCGTGAGACACACACGTGTGTAATTTAATCCACCAGATACTCCTGCAAACATTCCTGGAAATGCAGTGGGAAAACACCCCCCCACCCCCGCACACAGCCTTCCTTCCAGTTTCAGCTGCGTCTCTTGCTTCCAAGTCACGGTTTGCCCTGACGTTTCTGAGTTTGCTCCAAGTTTCCCCACTGCGTGTCAGCTCCCTGTTCCTGAGCCGATCCGTGTCAGCACCGGGTTCCCTACAGGCCCCACGCCCTGCCCCGTCTGTTCTGACCGCGTGCTGAGGTCTGGCCCATGCCGTCTGCCCCATGGTCCTAGCCGGTGGCTGCCGTGTGGATGGGGACTGTGGGCTGCAGAGTGGGAGACTCAGTGGTCAGGCTCTGGTCTTGGCTGGTTGGCCAGCTCCATAGAGACAGTGGGCCCCAGTCCCTCCGGGTAGGGTGTGCAGGTCCCTGTGGGTGGGACCAGCCCCCAGGCCTGTGTCTCTGAGGAACAGATGCACTGTCCAGGTTCGATCCCTGGGTCGGGAAGATCCCCTGGAGAAGGGCATGGCTACCCACTCCAGCATTCCTGCCTGGAGAATCCCATGGACAGAGGAGCCTGGCGGACTGCAGTCCACGGGGTCTGGGACTTCACTTTACCCAGATACTGACACTGTCTCCCTACCAGAGCACATCTTGAAGCCAACTGTGTGTGGGCATCCCTGAGAGGCCTGTTAATATGTGGATCCTGACGGCAGGTCAGGGCGGGGGTCTGCGTCCCTGCCCAGCTACGGGTGATGGTGCCATGGGGCCCCTGGGGGTAGCAGCCTGGATTCTGAGGTGACCTGTCCACACAAGTCTCACTGTTTTTGGGGGACAAATGGTTGTGACAGCTGCATGCTTCTCAGGCTGCTAATGGTGAAGACCCGTCACAGAAGCCGTGGCTCCTCCAGGGCCCACGCTGGTCTCCCAGGACACTTAACGTCAGCACCACTCATCAGCTCGATGGTCCCACCTCAGAGGCAGATGCACCCAGAGCTTGACCCTGCAGATGCTGACGGCTCGGCCACAGTTCCAGTTCCTGAGTGAGGACTCCCATTTGCATAACCTCCTCAGCTCCGGCCGCCTTCACACATCAGACCCGGGGCCATGGGCTTAGTGGCTGAGAAGTTCCGACCCTGTTCCGCCCTGAGCTGCTCTCGGTCTCCAGGACCTTGTGGCTGAGTTCTGTGGGCTTTCCTGCTCATCTCACGGTGTCGAGTGTCTCCTTAGTACAGCCAGCACCGACCTTACGTGTGACCTTCTCCCTGGGACCATTCTCTGGCCAGTGACTGCTCCATGACAGGAGAAGGCTCCCCGTCTCTGGTCGTCCTCTGGGCCTAGGGCTCCTCCGACCGGGTTTGCAGAGGCCGCCTGGAGCTGAGCACCTTTGCCCCGTGACTGTCCGTGCCTGGGAGTGACCCTGAAACCCTTTGGCTTCTTGCAGGGGCGAGGTGATCAACGGGGGCTTTGGCCTTGTGCTGGATGGGACTGAGGACGCTGAGCGGAAGGCCAGGAGGGTGCTCAGCTGGGACGTCGCCAACGGAGTGAGTGACTGCCCGCGTCCCCCAAGGCTCTCCCCTGTGCAGACTGCAGACCCTCCTCCTTCCCGAAAGGTCTTCGACCCTCCTGCCGCTGCGGTGTCTCCCCCCAGCCACTGCCAGTGTGTCCGTCCACGGCAGACAGCCTGCGTTTCACCAGGGCTGTTTCCTGGCCAGCCTGTGTCCACGGGGCCACCGCCTCTGTGTGCATCTGAGAGCACAGCTGCATACACTCGTGTGTGTCCTGACACTCGTGTGCGTGTGTGTCCTGACACGCGTGTGTGTGTGTCCTGACGTTTGTGTGTGTGTGTCCTGACACGCGCGTGTGTGTGTCCTGACACTCATGTGTGTGTCCTGACATTTGTGTGTGTGTGTCCTGACACGTGTGTGTGTGTCCTGACACGTGTGTGTGTCCTGATGTGTGTGTGTGTGTCCTGACACGTGTCTCTCTGTGTGTGTCCTGACATGTGTGTGTGTGTCCTGACATGTGTGTGCGTCCTGACATGTATGTGTGTGTGTGTCCTGATGTGTGTGTGTGTGTCCTGACACGTGTGTGTGTGCTGTGATGTGTGTGTGTATCCTGATGTGTGTGTGTGTGTCCTGACACGTGTGTGTGTCCTGATGTCTGTGTGTGTGTGTCCTGACACGTGTTTGTGTTTGTGTGTGTCCTGACATGTGTGTGTGTCCTGACACGTGTGTGTGTGTCCTGATATGTGTGTGTGTGTGTGTCCTGATGTGTGTGTGTCCTGACGTGTGTGTGTGTGTGTCCTGACGTGTGTGTGTGTGTCCTGATGTGTGTGTGTGTGTGTGCTGACACGTGTGTGTGTGTCCTGATGTGTGTGTGTGTGTGTCCCCTGATGTGTGTGTGTGTGTCCTGGTGTGTGTGTGTGTGTGCTGACACGTGTGTGTGTCCTGATGTGTGTGTGTGTGCTGACACGTGTGTGTGTGTCCTGGTGTGTGTGTGCTGACACGTGTGTGTGTGTTCTGATGTGTGTGTGTGTGCTGACACGTGTGTGTGTCCTGATGTGTGTGTGTGTGTCCTGACACTTGTGTGTGTGTGCTGTGATGTGTGTGTGTATCCTGATGTGTGTGTGTGTGTCCTGACACGTGTGTGTGTCCTGATGTGTGTGTGTGTGTGTCCTGGTGTGTGTGTGTGTGCTGACACGTGTGTGTGTCCTGATGTGTGTGTGTGTGCTGACACGTGTGTGTGTGTCCTGATGTGTGTGTGTGTGCTGACACGTGTGTGTGTCCTGGTGTGTGTGTGCTGACACGTGTGTGTGTGTTCTGATGTGTGTGTGTGTGTGCTGACACGTGTGTGTGTCCTGATGTGTGTGTGTGCTGACACGTGTGTGTGTGTCCTGATGTGTGTGTGTGTGTGTCCTGACACGTGTGTGTGGGGGGGGGTGCAGGGCCCCATCCCTGAGGGTTAGGGGAGGCATGACAGATGGGGGTCTGGGTGATGGGGGTGGGTTTACAGGATGTGAGTCAAATGGGGAGGGGGCTGGGGAGCCCACCTGCAGGGGGCCAAGGGTTAGACTCAGGCCTAGGAGAGCAGTGGGGCGACTCCCGGGAGCCCCCAGGACGGGGGCTGCGCTTCCTCCTCGAGGCCGGGAAGCCGGAGGAAATGGGTGGGGTGGGTAGGGTGCCAGGGCCATGTCCGGGGGCCCCTGACAACAGAGGCCAGATGGGAGGAAGGGAGCAGCTGGGGAGGGCCTGAAGTGGAGCCGAGGTGGTGTGCTCGGGGGGAAACGCGGGCTGGGCGGGGCCTGGCACCGAGGACACACCCCTCCCACCCCTCAGGTGGCCCGCCGCTGCTGGTCAGGGAGCCCCACGGCCTACGAGGTCATCTGCCAGACGATGCGGGAGGACAGTAGCGTGGCGGTGACGCTGCCACACGCCGTGGCGGACGAGCGTGTGCTCCAGGCGCTGCAGCAGTGAGGGGACTGGGCGCCCCGCGGTGCCCTGCCCCCGGTCCTGCCCCCACCTCACATTCCCCAGCCTGCTGCTCGCCGTGCTCCCCCGGGTCCGGAGCTTTGCACACGGGTGTGCATAGACGTGCACGCTCACACAGGCATGCACACACAAGCATGTACGTGCACTTACAAGCATGCACACACGCAAGCATGCCCTCTTCTGTCTCACCACCCCAGAGGCAGTGTCACTGCATCCCCATCTTACAGACCAGCCAGCGAGGCAGGGCCGTCTGCTCTCACCACGCGGCTCCCCTGGGGGCCTGGAGGGCAGTGAGGGTCTCCTTCAGTGTGGGGAGCTCAGGCCTGCCGTGGAGGGGACTCCAGGGGCTGGTGCCCAGAAGACTGGCTGAGTGGGGCTGCAGCCAGCCCATGGAGCGGCCTACAGTTCTTCCTCCCCCTGGGCGTAGGGTTCACTTGGCCAGATCCTCATCTAACATCCATCGCCCCCAACCCCTGACTAACTGTCCACACCAGGGACCCACAACCTTGGCGCACAGACCAGCCTGGCTCTGACCATATTCCTTATTCTTTGTCCTCCGTCTTAGCTGAGCCCCTGCTGGGCCCATGACAGGCTTAAACTGAGATAGACTTTGGGGATGGGTCTCCAAGGAGCCCCCCAAAAACTTGACACCCCCCGCCCTTTGTGTCTAGTCTCAACCACGCCATATGGCCTGTCTCCTCCCCACTGGCCATTCTGCCTTTGTCTGAGCTCACAAAACCCCAGTGTTGTCTGGGTAGCAATATACACAGAAGAAATAGTTGATTTTCCAGCCTGCCTAGTAATCAAGAATAAGCATTGACCTGGTTCCAGCCCAATAGACTGTGGAAGTCTGCTGGATGGGTCTCCTGGGAAAGCTGTAATAAAAATGAACTGATGTGGCTGTGTCACATTTTTGCTTTTGCCCCTTCTTTCTGCCAGAATCTCAGGTGTGATGCCTGGAAGCACAGCAGCTCTGCTGTGACCATGAGGGGATCACTGAACACATGGAGACTTGTGGAAAGGCAGAGGTGCCTGGGCTCCTGGCAGCGCTGGATGCTGCTGTGCCAGTCCTGGGTGCCTTCTCCTTTCCTTGGTCCTCACCTGCTCAAGCCATCCTTGCAGGCTTCTGTTGCACATGGTGAGCGTGGGGTCCAGATGTAGAGGAGGGCTCCACTCTCTCGCCATGGGCTTTACAAAGGGATCCCCTATCCTGGAGTCTGGGGCCAGAGTCCTGGGGTTGAAGATTTTTTTGTCCCCCCCCCCCACTTTTAAAGTTTTTTGACTTTGTCACCAATTTTTAGAAATTGGGAAATTTCACTTAAAAAAACAAACCCAGGTTTTGAGTTACTTAAAGTCAGGAGAGTAAGTGATACTTCTTGATACAAGTCTCCTTGAAGGTCATGCTGTTGTATGGATCTGCACAAACATTCCCTGTTTCTCGGGGGAAATGTGTGTGTTCAGTGTGAAGACCAGGACCTCCTGTCATGCTTTCCGCCCAGCACCCTGAGCCCTTCGGGGCCAGGGCTCGGCCAGCCTCCGGGCAGCGTCTCAGGAGGCTTGTGGCCACGTCCGAGGGCTCCAGACCCTCCCTGGGCTCCCGCCGAGCCCACCAGGGAGCATGCCCTCTCCCCCCGTCTCTGCTGCCAGCAGGGAGAAGGGATGGCTGACACCGCCGCGGGGCCCAGGAGGACGGTGGAGCAGCTGACCACAGACTTGGTAGCTGTGGAGGTGCCAGAGAAAGTGTGCCACCCCCACGGGTCTGCGGTGACTGTCCCCAGCCCCTGCAGCCACGGACCTGCAGTGCACCCCCAGCGTTCAGGGCGAAGGTCAGGGCATGTCTCTGCGCTCCGGGGAGAACGGGCGCAGCAGACCCTCGGTAGTCAGATATTTTCAGAGAAGTTGTTTATGAACCTGGGTTCTGGCCTCTTACCACAGTTAGGAAAGCACTAAAAACCACTAGCTTAGATTCCACTCCCCACAACCTGCATCCACGTTCTGCCAGCCTTCTGTAAGAGAGCAGGGGAGCGTCGTTCACTCAGAAATGTGTTCATCGAAACATGAAGATAGGAACCAACTGGCCCTGGTGGGAGTGGGCCTGGCTGCCTTGAGAACTGCAGAAGCCTCAGGGCCCTCCCTGGCAGCCTCTGCTCCCCGGCACCTAGGACTGCTTGGGGACAGACTTTCCCGCCCCTTCCTGGCGGCCTCTGCTCCCCGGCACCTAGGACTGCTTAGGGACAGACTTTCCCGCCCCTTCCTGGCGGCCTCTGCTCCCCGGCACCTAGGACTGCTTAGGGACAGACTTTCCCGCCCCTTCCTGGCGGCCTCTGCTCCCCGGCACCTAGGACTGCTTGGGGACAGACTTTCCCGCCCCTTCCTGGCGGCCTCTGCTCCCTGGCGGCCTCTGCTCCCTGGCATCTAGGACTGCCCGGGGAAAGACTTTCCCTGCTGGCCAGCCCAGGCCAGGGCAGGAGGGCTCTGCGCTGTTGCCCTGGGCTTTCCAGAGGGGACCCCTATCCTGGGTCTGGGGCCAGACTTGACTTGGGGTTGCGTTTTATTTGCCCCCCACACCTTTAAAATTTGACTTTGTCACCAATTTTTAATAATTGGGAAATTCCACTTAAAAATCCAGATTTGAGTTACTTCGAGTTTAGGTGACAGCGTGCACTCGCCGCCCCTGCTCAGTCATCACCTGGAGGGCTCTGGGGCCTGGGCTTGTTTTATCCAACTTGCCACAGTCCCCACCAGCCTCTGGGACTTCCCAGGGCGCGCGAGTGGTAAAGATGTTGAATCCATAATCACATTTTCTTGAGTTGGCCAAAAAGTCCCCCTATTCTGGTCATTTCATATGAATGGAATCACACAGTACGTGTTTTTGGGGGTCTGGCTTCTCTCCCTTGGTGTGTTTTCAGCGTTCATCTGTGTTGTAGCGTGTATCAGTACTTCACCCCTTTTTACGGCTAAATAATATTCCTTTGTACGGATAGGCCATATCTTGTTTACCCCTTTGTCTGTTCATGAACACTTACCTGTTTCCATTTTTTAATTGTAGCAGTATGCTACTGTGAACGTTCACATATAAGTTTTTCTGTGGATGGATTTTCACTTGTCTTGGATGTATGCCTGGGAATGGAATTGCAGGGTTATAAGGAAATTCTTCCCAGGTGGTGCTAGTGGTGGAGAGCCTGCCTGCCAAAGCAGGAGATGTAAGAGACATGGGATCAAGACCAGGGTCAGGAAGATCCCCTGGAGGAGAGCATGGCAACCACTCTAGTATTCTTGATTGGAGAATTTCATGGGCAGAGGAGCCTGGTGGGCTGCGCTCCATAGGGTTGCAAAGAGTTGGACACTACTGAAGTGAGTTAGCACACAAGGAAATTCTGTCTTTAACTTTTTGAGGAACTGCCAACCTTTTTTACACAGCAACGTTCTCACCAGAAATATATGAGGGTTCCAATTTTTCCACACCCTCACCAACACTTGTTCTCTGTTTAAAAAATTGTAACTATCCTAGTAGGTGTGAAGTGGTATCTCATTGTGGTTCTGAGCTGCATTTCCCTGATGACTAATGAAACTGAGCTTCTTTTCATGGGTGTATTGGCTAGTTCTTATTTGGAAAAATGTTTATTAAGATCCTGTGTGTATTTTTAAATTGGGTTGTCTTTGTGATTGACTTACAAATTTTTAAAAATATGTTCTGGATAGTAGATCCCCACCAGATACATAATTTGCAAATTTCCTCCCATATTATGGGTTATCTTTTCACTTTTTTGTTCCTGTTCTTTGACTCAAATTTTTTAACTTTTACAAAGCCCAGTTTGCTTCTTTGGGCTTTTGGTTTCACATCTGAGAAGCCATTCCCTCATCCAAGGTCACAGAGATCTACAGTTATGCTTTCTTCTAGCCATTTTATAGTTACAGCTCTTAGGTTAGACCTGGGATCCACTTTGAGTTCCTTTTTGTGTCTGGTACCAGGCAGAGGTCCAAACCCTCTCTGCTGTGTGTGACTATTCAGTGATTCCAGAATTATTTATTGAAAAGACTGTTGCCTTTATTGAATGGTCTTGGAAAAATTTATTTTTGGCACAAACATATATATATATATGTCTATATATATATATATATATATATATGTAGGTTCAGTTCAGTTCAGTCACTCAGTCGTGTCCGACTCTTTGCGACCCCGTGGACTGCAGCACGCCAGGCTTCCCTGTCCTTCAACAACTCCCAGAGCTTACTCAAACTCATGTCCGTCGAGTCAGTGATGCCATCCAACCATCTCACCCTCTGTTGTCCCCTTCTCCTCCCACCTCAGATCTTTCCCAGCATCAGGGTCTTTTCAGATGAGTCAGTTCTTCGCATCAGGTGGCCAAAGGATTGGAGTTTCAGCTTCAGCATCAGTCCTTCCAATGAATATTCAGGACTGATTTCCCTTAGGATGGACTGGTTGGATCTCCTTGCAGTCCAAGGGACTCTCAAGAGTCTTCTCCAACAGCACAGTTCAAAAGTATATGTAGGTGTGTTTCCTATCCTTTCCAATATTGTTGATGTACTTTTGGGAGGGGGGTGCTGCACCTTGGGGTTTGGGGGGATCTAAGTTCCCTGACCAGCTGTGGGAATGGAGTCCTATTCGCGGGAACTCCCGAAATCCCTTATTCTTAAGGTGCTTTTTAATAATAAAGCGGTCACCAACGCATCACACGTTGGCGGAGTCTCCAGTGCTGGCCTCGGGACTCAGCTGTGGAGGGCTCCCCAGGGTCTCCGTCCTCACGGGCCGCACAGGAAAAGGGACGAAGAACACCAGGGCGCCGTGGACACAGACCCTGCGTGGATCCCGCAGGAGCGGGGGGCGCGGTGAAGCGGCGGCGGGACGTCCGGCGAGAGGAGAGAGAGCCGGCGGGGCCGCTCGGGTAGGGGGCGCGGCGGCCGCGGGGTCATCGCCCTAGATCCGCGGGTGGGACGACAAGCCAGGCGGCAGGACCGCAGCG